TTTTAGGAGATTCTAAAGCTACAGTCATAAGCTTAAATTTCTATGGAAACAAAGGCCAATCTTACTACCAACATTCTATGGCATTATATGAAATATAACAATCTCTGATGAATTAAAGATGAGTATCACATAGAAGGTAATGGAGAGGCTCACGGCAGATGTGACCAGGCTGCAGCATATAACCAATCAATAGGTAACTGTTAAGAAGAATAGGAGTTTGATGTCATATAGGAAATACAAACTAGGAAAAGAAGATGGGCTCATTATATATGCACTGAGGGTACTAGCTGTCTGGGTGAAGGATAGGTCTTCTTCTGTACCCTTAATCTGTACCAGAATTTGGTTTTTATCAGCCTTGGTAAACTTCCTAACCTTGGGCAATTGCCTATTCTATAGCAAAGCGTGGTAGCACTACTCTTCTCCCAAGTATAGCCCTGTTTAGAAGTGAAGGGAAAAGGAAAGCCTGTAAGTAGTAAGTGAAGAACTGAAAGTTGATGGCTTCTGAATAATTGTAAATCCACTCTATCCTATCCAGATTCTTGTTGCTGTCAATTACGTAGCTCCTCGTAACTCACTCTCTTTCCCTGTACATTGGATACCTATCTTACAGTCTTTTCTTCCACTTCAACCCTCCACTACCCTCTTTGAATAGCCTGTTCTCCCATTTCTCAGTTTCTTTAACTGTCATGATTTCTGTTTCTTACACACTTCATCCCTTTCTAGGATAACTTAGAACTCTCCACCTTCTATTTAAGTAAAGTCAAAGCAACAGGCATTTATTAAACATCTATGATTTGCCAGGTAGGCAGCTAGGTGGCACAGTGGATAGAGGGGTAGGCCTGAGGTCAGGAAGATTCACCTTCTTGAGTTCAAATCTGTCCTCAGAACTTACTAGTTGTGTGATCCTGGGCAAGTCATTTAACCCTGTTTGCCTCAGTTCCTTGTCTCTAAAGTAAACTGGAGAAGGAAATGGTAGACCACTCCAGTATCTTTGTCAAGAAAACTTCAAATGGAGTCACAAGAGTCACAGCTTAAACTACTGAACAACAAAAATATGCCAGGTACTGTGTTAAACACTAGGGATAGAAAGAAAGACAAAAACAGTCCCTGCTTTCAAGTCCAACAAGGGAGACAACATGCAAACAATTATGCAAAAATGATACATACAGAATGAATTGGACATAATTTCAGATGGAAGGCACTAGCTTTAAGGGAAACTGGGAAAAGTTTCTTGCAGGAGGTTGGAATTTGGTTGTTCTTATAATCCACATCACATAATTCATTGGTAAATGTAAACTACCAGGTATTGTACATGCTCTTAAGTCTAATTGAGATAGGGATATACTGTACTTACCTAAAACAACAGGAGAAGATAGTACAAGGCTACTTGTTTTCTGCATAACTTATCACTTTATTTCCTATAATATTATTCCTTTTTCACCAAGTGTTTGTCTTGGTCTCTAACTATAAGCCCCTTGAGGGAATTGTATTTCAAGGTCATTTGTATCTTTTATGGTGTCCAGCACAGTGTGAGACATGTAGAGGCACTTTATTGTGATAGAAACAAAGGAAGACCTGAAGTCAGGAAGATAGGGGTTTGTATCCCATTTCCGACACACTGTTTAATTTTTTAATGAGGTTTAAGTCTCAGATCTTCTGGAAGATTAAAGCGGTAAAGATAAGTTATTGAATCTCATTTTAAAGTTTCTGTGACAATAAGCACTTGTGAATACTTTCTGTTTTGAATTTCTATTGTTTATAGGAAATAAATACCTGTCCCATACTTGCAAAGAAAATAGCTATATGACCTTGGGAAAAATCATTCAAGGTTTGGTTTCTAAGGTTTGGTTTTTTCCATCTGCAAAACAGAGCATAGATTTAGAGATGGAAGAGACATTAGATGTCACTTAGTCCAAAACCCATCTTTTTATAGATGAAGAAAGTTTAGTCTTAGAGAGGTTAAGTAACTTGTTCAGGGTCAAAGAGCTAGTAAGTGTTTGAAGCAAGATTTGAATCCAAGTCTTTCTGACTCAACTCTAGAGCTCTAATCAGTATACTACACTGCTTCTAAATGGAGATTATAATACCTGTTGCACTTAACTCACAAAATTTATGTGATGGTCAAATGGCTATACACACACACACACACACACACACACACACACATATATACACATGTTTTTTCAAAACTGAAAGAAATATATAAGTGCCATTCTTAGCATTCTCATAATAGGTCCTCAAAAAATACCCATTAACTTGATTGATTTGTTATTCTCAATAATCCTGTGGAGGTGTTTGGTATTTTGTCTCCTATTTATACATCGGAAAAGAGATAACAGTTAACTTGCTTGTCTTCATATAATGAAAGAACATGAAATTATGTCTTACAAGGTGTAGCACCATCATGGATTTGCCAGGGATATGAAGATGCTGGAGATGGATGCCTGATGGTTCTTGCAGAAATCATACCAGTATCTCTATCCTCAATATCACAGGGAGTTTGCCTTCAGCTGAGGACTGGTGGAAGTGGAATTTGCTTTCCCAGTATAAGGGAGGATGAGTAGCTAAATCCCTGTGAGAGCCAAGGGAGGATTGGCACCAGAGTAGGGTGGAGAAGCAGGAAAAGAGGAGTGGAAGCTGTGGAAGGAAGAAGTTCCAGTCATGAGATCCTCAGTACAAGACTCCAGGACCAACCACAGATGTACAGGTTGATCTTGCACAGTGTCTGGGTGATTGCTGCATCTTTAAAACCTTCTCTCCCATTTCTTCTCTTTTCTTCTGTCTACATCCCAAGAGGGCATATACCTGTTTACTACAAAATTTCCATTTCTTAAAAGTTTGCTTATTCTTTTCTTTAGTTTGCCTTTTAACTATTGCATTGCTGATCTTGACGTATCCTTGTTCAAAGGAAGAAGAGAGGAACCATATAGTAGCACCAAGGAGAGAAGAGAGATCAATTTACAACTGTAACATTTTGCCAAAGTGGTTCTTTGGCCGGGGGCTTAGAATTGGAGAAATCATTATTTATTCATTTTTTCACAGTTTCCAAAGCAGAGACAATTCCCAATTCTCGAATTTTTCTCTAGGCAATGAATGAGTCAGAAGTCTGACTGTAACTAGCTGGGCTGATATTGGGAAAAAGGCTGTTGCCACTTTCCTTCTTGTTATTTCCCATAACTTGGTTTGAAAGGAAAACCATTCCTGTAGAAGGATGGCGCCAAGGGAATGGATAAAAGAATAGATTTCCTTGCACAAGTCAGGGTCAAGGGCAAATAAGGGTGCCTGTGCTCTGACAACCCTCCTCAGCAGCACAGTATGACTCTATAGCTGCAAGAAATCCAGAGAACTAACCAACAGTCTTTCTATAACCAACTCTGAATTTTTAATTCACATTGGGAATTATCCATATTGAATTGTTTTCTACTTAGGTCAGTGTCTCCCCACTATACAGCATGATCCTGGGGAACATCTCATACCTAGCATAGGAAAGATAAAATCAATTTAATATTGGCTTAATAGGAAAACATAATGGGGTGGCAAATTGCCAGTAAAGTGAAGAAAAAGCTTAGATAGATTATTTTATGTGATTTGGTGTTTTAGTTTATCCATTCTGCTGTTCTGTTCCATTAGTGTAGGTTTGGAGATATTATATTTTTGTTGTTTAGTAGTTTTTCAGTCATGTCTGACACTTTGTGGTGCCTTTTGGGGTTTTCTTGGCAAAGACACTGGAGTGGTTTGCAATTTCCTTCTCTAGCTCAATTTACACATGAGGAAACTGAGGCAAACAAGGTTAAGTGACTTGCCCAGAGTCACACAGCTAGTAAGTGTCTGGGGCCATATTTGTACTCAGGAAGATGAGTCCTTTTGACTATAGACCCCACACTCTATTGTTAAGCAAATGACTCTAACTTCAAGCAAATAGAACTCAGTTAGGTGGGGAAGTAAATGAAGTCTGCTATTTTGAATCTCTCCTATCTTGTAAATAGATGCTTTTCTCAGGGAAAACATTTAGGTGAAACACATTTCCACTAAATATAAACCTGTTATCTGTCAGCCAAATTAGGTTTGTTTGTTTTAGGTAAAGCCCATAAAAGTCAATGGAGATCATACTGCTATCAGTGTGAGCAGATTATAATGTTGTAGTGTCACTTTGGAGACAGAAATAATATTCTTCTTGCCAATTTATATACAGGGGCTATGTGCTATGTGTTTGTAGAATCTTCATAGAAAAGTAAAGAGTTGGTCTTTTAACTTATCTCCCACTGAGCCACAAGTAGGAATTCTGCCAAAATTCAGTCGGGAGAATGTGTACGGGTGGAGGGGTGTCTGTGGTTTGACTCCTCCTGTTTGTGTTTGAAGTGGACTGGAGACGCAGGTCATAGGATATGAGGAGATTGATGAAATGGATTGGGACAGTGATTGGAGCAGAAAAGTAAGGTATATTGAATGTTTTTGGGAGGAAAGAAAGTGACTTGGAGGTTCATAGATGATCATAACAAAGGTTAGGACAGGGTAGAGAGAACTTTTGAAGGAAGAGAAGAGCCTACTGAGTGACGGTGACAGAGGCGGTGTGGATCAGGAGAGAGCTCCTAATTCTATTTCTTACATGACCTATGTGACCTTAAGGAAGTAGCACCTCTCTGGGTCTTAGTTTCTTCATCTATAAAATGAGGCATCTGGGCTAGATGGTTTTTGAGGCCCATTTCAGTTTTAGGTCTTTGATTCTATGAAATATTGCAGCAGTAGAGATAACTAGAATGCCTACTCCTTAAGGGGATTCCAGAGAAAGGAGGGCTAAGAAAGATAGGATCTGAGGAGACAGTTACAGCTGAGTTTATTATTTGGGAGGGAGGGTCCATGGCTGCTGCTTTTGCGAATGACTCCTCTCCAAACCCTCCTCCCCCTCACCTCCATTGATTTTTCCATTGATCATGAGCATCCTGTATAACTTCAGTTCCAAGACCAGGTGATATGTCAGGCTCAGTCTGTCCTGGTGGGAAGGCAGGCCATGAGAAGGGGTCATAGGACTCGTGGTAGGTTTCATAGAATCTGGTGGAGGTGGAACATTCAGTTGGATGACCAGCACTCCAAAGTATGGAGTGGCACTCTGATGGCAAGTCCTGGGGAAAGACCCAGCACCTCATGCTAGTTCCGCTGCCAAGTCCTATTCCTGTAAACATTTTATTCTGTAAGTATTAGAGGAGTACTACATTTTCCTAATATCTTTCTAACTTTTATTGGTTAGGCTTGAAGTAAAAATTATCCTAAGTTTAGGTGCTTGTAGATAGGTAATGCAGTGGGTTCTGTGTTCCTAATTGTTTGCTAGAATAGACCAATAATGTGCTAAAAGCTAAATTCTGTAAAAATGTTAAACATTAATGAGAGAAATGATGAAAGAAAGCAGGAGTTTCCTGCCAGCAGCACTGTGGTCAGCCGCAGTGCCCTGACCTGATTACTTAAGTTGATGTTTTTCCTAAATCAGTCATGAATCAGTAATTATCAAGTTTTGCAATACTCAGTGGTTCTCTTGAGAGCAGCAAATAATTTGTAATACTTTTCCTCCTTTTCTTAAAAAAAAATAATAAAACCTTTTCATTCCTTTTGGTAGGTTTCACTGGACTTCAGGCAGAATTCCTGTTAGCTCGATACGGGGCATGTTGGCTGCTGGAGGTTTGTAGATTTATTTTTCTTATCTCACTAAACAGTGCATTTTTCTTTTTTCTCCTAGCAAAAACAAAAACAAATGCAACACTGTTCAGGAACTAGTGCAGTCCATCACTATTCATTTTCATGCCTTTGGCTTAACTCTTTAATCCATGATTAAAGCCCTAGAAGGAGAAAGCCAGCATAATAGATATAGTTCTGGAATTCAAGTTCTAGTTTTAACTTCTTTCTTGGGATGTTATGTATGTGATGTGAGTTAAGTAGGTCACTTGATATTCTTTGATTTCTAGTCTTTTTTTTTTTTGCTGTCATATCTCAGTATTTATCTCAAGGGGGCAATTAAATCCCCAAACTGGAAACATTCTCACAGATTCATAGATCTTGAGGAGTTTTTAAGTATTTATCTGGTCAAGTCTAGTCCAGCAGGTTATCATTGCTTTCATTTTATAGTTATAGTGGCCAAGACACAAAGAGGTTAAACAATTTACACAAGGTTATACAGCCAGTACTTGGCAGAATGAAAACTAGAATCTAGGTATCTTATCTATTCAACACTCCTTTCACCCAACTACAGTGTATTAAGGGTTTGGATGACATAGTAACACAATAGTACTACTGTAATGTATTAGGCCTATTATAGCCAGAGCTTAATGGTTCAACATGTAGTCTTATGTCAAACCTGACTTCTTTTGATAATCTATTTGATACTAGCACTGTTCCAATCACAATACTCAGTTTCTGGGCAATATCCTGAGGATCCCATTGCTCTTCTGGGTTATTATTCTATTGTCTTTGTATTGTTATTATCATTTTCTTCCACTTTTTGCATGGGGAACACACTGCTCTGTTTGTAGCTGCTTTGACATTATAGGCAGATGGTATCTTTTCTCATATAGCCTAAACAATCTGCATGGATGAGCAGGAAATGCTGAAGTACTTGGGAGTCGCCAAATTTGAGGACAAGCAGGAACAAGTAACCCATCTTGTGTATCAGGAAGATGATGCAGGATTCTTTATTTTATTGTAAAAATTTATTCTGAACTTAGTGACCATCACCAGAGACATACAAACAAAAATAAAATGAATTCTATTATTTATTGTTTGCTAAAAATTACAAACATTAACAAAATAAAAGATAACATTGCTCCATTTGTTTTGTGTATTTTTTTATATCCTTCTTAGTATTATTTGTTGTTCATTTGTTTCCATCATGCCTGATTCGTCATGACTGCATTTGGGGTTTTATTGGCAAAGATACTGGAGTGATCTGACATTTCCTTCTCCAGCTCATTTTACAGATGAGGCAAACAGTGTTAAGTGACTTGCCCAGGGGCACACAGCTAGTGTTTGAGGACAGATTTGAACTCAGGTTCTCCTGACTGCAGGCCTGGTGCTCTATCCACAGTGCCATCTAGCTGCCCAAGTATTAAAGAGCTCTAGATTTAAAGTTGAAAAGGATATTAGCAAACATCTAGTCAAGCTAATTTTTACAGATGAGGAAACTGACTTGCCCAGCATCACTATAAGAAGTAGTAAACAGAGCTGGAATTCAAACCCAGGTCCTGATTCCAAATCCAGGACACTTCCTACTACAACACATTGCTAATCTTGTAAGAATCCAGCTTTGCTAGTTTCCCACACTAGTGAAACCTATGCCCTGGAACCCCACTTTCCTAACCTTGAGTATCTCTTTCAGACCATTATTCCAGGAAAAGACCCAGCATGCTTCACTTTACTCAACTCACCAGCCATCTTTTATATATCCTTACTTTCATAGAGGTATTCTTTCTTTCACTGTTCTCACACTTCATCCTACCACCCAAGTTCTGGAACAATGATCAAATGAAATCTTCTATTATTCCAGGATGAGGTAGCTCCATACTATCTCACTCATCATTCTTATATCTTTACAGACCAAAGTGCCCCTCCATGACCACCATTTACCTTTGCATATTGTTTCCCCTTTAGAATATAAACTCCTTAAGGGCAGGGACTATTTTTGCTTTTTATGTTTTCAGTACTTAGAACAGTGCTTGGCACATAGTAAGTACTTAAAATGCTTTTTCATTCATCCATTCATCCATCCATCCATCCATTTATTCATTCATTCAGAAATGGTAATAGCTCATGCCAATTTCTCTTCTTTTTTCCCTTTCTAGTTTTAACCGCTTCCTTAATGAGGTAGGGCTGGACTTCTCTCAATCATATATCATATTCTCTCCATTTTATTCTTCTACTTTGGTTCTGATTTTGATCTTTGTTCTAACAAGTTGGTGGTCTATCATACACACAGAGGACTGATTTAGAAATGACTGCTATATCAATAATCAGTTATTTCCTGTTAAAAATAGAATCAATTTGTTTTTTGGTATGTTATGCCCATTACCTTCCAACTATCTTCTTAAATAAAATATTCATGGTATGTAGGTATGAGGTTTCTATATAGCCTTGACTTCTCTAATTTCTTATTCCTGAATTATATTTCCTTTCCTTTCCTTTCCTTTCCTTTCCTTTCCTTTCCTTTCCTT